ATAGTAATTTAGACAATAATATAATATTATCGGACATTCACGTATGTTTTATTTCCACAGGACGTGTTTACTTTCCAAAAATTAATTTTCTTTTAAGGGATTTAATTTCCTTTTTTTTCACATAGTAATTATATTTGAAATCACATAATTTTTTTTATCTAACTTGATTTTTTTAAAAAAAATTTAAATATTCGCGAAAGAGAGAAGTAGAAAAAATTTGTTTAGTTCTGTTTTTTTTTTTGGTAAAAAAATACTACAAATATTTATTCTGATCTATTGTTTTTTTTTTTATTTATCAATAAAAAATTAATTGAGCAATTTTTTGGGTTATTGTATAAACAAAGTACATAGCTAAAGAAATTTTTTTTATTCTCTCCTTTTATTTGCACACTTTTTTTTTTAATTGATTGAAAAAACCAATTTTCTAGATTTCAAATAGTAAAATTTAAAAAAAAAAACAATTTAAAAGATTGCAACAATATTTTCTTGTCTAAAAATTAGAAGTTATCGTTAAAGTTAAAATTTTTTATTTTATTCATTATTAATTTATAATTATTACACTGATGTTTAATAATATTGCATTAATTTTTCATTTTTTATCACTAATAAGAAATTGCAATTTGTGTCCAAATTTTTAGATAACGCAACGAATTTTTTTACAATTTTTAAATGTAAATTATTTTATCGATAAATTTTGTAGAGATTTCTCATTTTTTTTTTCTATAATTTTCTTCACTAGAAGTAAAAAGTCTTATAGAAATTTTTTTTTAAAATTGCATCTAATGTTAATTTTGAATTAACATGAAATTTATTTTCTAAATTTGCAACTACAATTTTTGGTATTCCAATTTGGAGCAACTTTTTTCAAATAATTACCTTTCAAATTGTTATTTTTCCCTTACTTATACGTTTTCTTTTCAATTTTTTTTTTCTTATTTTATTATTTTTATTTAAAAATTTTTTTATTGCATTACTTTCATATTTCTTTATAATTTTGTTCACTTTCTCATTTTTTTTATTTTAAACAAAATTTAACTATTTTTTTAAAATTATTATTTCTAATTATAATTGCGCCTTGAATTTTTTTTTTCTTAGAAATTTGTTTTAAAACTTCAATTTCAAAATTATATATAAATATAAAAAAAAAAAACTTAAAAACTTGATTTAAAATTATTAAAACAAAAAACAGTTAAAATTTAATAATTCCACACGATATATATAATTTTTTTTTTTTTAATTTTGCACAATTTTTATTATAAAACATTTTAATATTATGCGATAAATAAATACAAATCGAAAATCAACTAACACAATTTTTTTCAAACAAATTATTAATAACATCATTTTTTTTTTTTTTTTTTTTAATCAAACGAAATTAATATTAACAAAAATCTTACGTAATTTAACACGAATTAACCAACATTTACTTATTTTAAAAAAATTAACTATAACAAATTTTACTTAATCAAACGTTAAAACAAATTTTACTAATTGTAAGAAAAATTAAATTTTTATATTAAAATTTAAAAAAAAAATTTATTGTTAAAAAATATGGAAAGTAAACATCCTGTCGAAATACGTGTAATATTATATATATATTTTTTTAATATTAGCGAGGCCTGTGTGAACGTTCAAGTCTTTTGACTGTACTTTACTTTCCTTCGAAATATGATTCGCAGAGGCCTTTTATTATACCTATATATATATATATTTTTTTTTATGAATCAAGTTACTCCACTAAAATCCAAACTCAACAGAGGAGAAAAGTATGTATTTCTACTTCAATCCGACAAGGGGAACAAGACATGTTTGGTCAGACGAGACTTTGAGTCATTCAATGAAACCCCACGTGCATTATATGTGAAGGTCCCTGAAGCTATTCGTATCTCTCACTTAAGACCAAAACGTGTTCTGATTCATCCATGTTGGGATTTAGTTTTGTAACACAATATGCGCACATACACTTGACAAAAAAAAAATTGCCATCAATTTTTCTTTTTAATTCAATAAAATTTTTTCTTTACTCTCGAAAAAGTGAATTAAAATATTTTTTTTTTATTTCTAAGTTCCTAAATCTAAATTAAATAAAACTAGATAAAAATTTTTTTTCCAACAAATATGAATTTTTTTTTTTTATTAAAAAATTATTAATTAATTAATAATTTCCTTATTCAAGCAATTATTAAGTAATAATTTTTTAATTGAATTTAATCAAACATTTTTATATTCAATTATTATTATTATTATTATTAATGAATTAATAATTTATAAATTCAACAATTATCGTGAAATTAATTGATAACGAATAATATTTAACAATTTTCCCTTAGAGCTCAAAATAGAGTCGTGTTAGAGTACGTTATCAATTGAATTCTAAGAGAATTTAATGCGTGCGCAGCATAGAGAGCGGATACAATTGACGCGAGCGCTATCCCCACTTCTCGTAGGCGGCGCGCGCAGCTATTGCTATCCCCACTCCTCTCACATGCTGTGTGCGCGCAACTTTCTCAAAACATCTTCAATTTCTATTAAATTCTAATAAAAATTTTTTCTCTTGCCATTAATTTAATATTTACCCTTTGAAAACCGAAAAAAAAAATTTCGCAAGTGTTCATGGGCATTTCTATAATATTGCAAAGAAAAAAAAATTAATTTTTGAACGAGAACCAAAACTCGATTGATTTCAAAATAGTGATAAATAAAAATTTAAATGAAAGTGTAAAATCGTAAATCGAGTAGAGATCAATGAGGTTCAATTTCATCAGAAATGAGTCAATAATTTTTTTTGTTTTCTATTCCATTAATGAGCCAATATTCATTTATAAATATATATATATATATATATATATAGGTATGTTTTTTTTAAAATAAGTTTTTTTTTTTTGATAAAATTAAATTTTTCGTTGCACTTTTTATGCAACCTCACGATTTATATTGCATTGTATAATATTGTAGGTGTAATGTATTTATATTGTGTATATAAATTAGAGATATATGTATATTGTATATTACTATGTATGTTTATATAAATGTTATTATAATATATGCTTCATTTATATATAATTTTCTTTCCTTAAGTGGATATCATGTCCGTGTATAACACGAATGTGTGCAGTAGAGTGTCAGTGCAAGGGAAGGCACTTCCGCTATGTCTTAGCTTCGTATCCCATGACTTGGAATTTTTTTTTTTTTTTTTAGACACTCGTAAATGACAAATTTTATTTAATAAATATTTTTAGAAAATTTTTCAAGTAAATAAAATTTCTTTGTTTTATAAATTAAAATTAATTAAATGTGAAATTAAAAAAAAAATTATCCGAATTTGAAATTATTTTGATAGTATAAAATTAATAAAAATTTAAATTAGTTAATAATAATTTAAAATCAGTTAAAGATACAAATGAAGAAAAAAAAATAGAGTAAATTAAAGATGAATTCAATTTATCGGAAAGCCAATTGAATTCACGAAGGGGTTAATTGACAATTCAGTTTAATTAAATGTAAAATATAAGATCAATTAAATCGCAGATGATACTAATTAAAAGCAAAATTGACTATACAATAAACCTACAACTAAATTCAATTGAAATTTAATTTAAAAAATTTTTTTTAATATAATTATTTTCAATTTCAAAATAGATTAAACATTCCTTATTAGATTAAACATTTTTTGTTCTCATTTAATTTAGAATATTATTGCATTTTTTAAATGAAAAATGGTAAATTTTTGCTAAAACTAATAATTTTCTATGTATATTTAAAATATATTTTTTTTTTATAAAATTTATAATTATTTTAATTTTTCTACAATTTAAAAATTAAGTGAAGAAAAAAAAAATTTACAGTCATGGGATATTATCGAAGCTAGCCACCCTCTCGTGTTTTGTCCTAATTGTTTTATAATGAAGGAACCCTTAAAAATTTGCTGCCTTAATAAATTGTTACTTTTTTTTTTTTCATCATCGACGAATTTTTCTTGATCACACAATTTAGCCCATTATTTTTCATTTTTTGCATTATATCAAAAATGCAAAATAAATATTATCACTGAGAAAATAATTTATATTGCTCTATACATTTTTAATTATTTCAATCCAACATATAATTTACCATGGAACAAAAAATTCCTGTACACTGTTTTTGCAAAAAAAAATTTAATATCGAATATTTTCTCAGTGATGAACAAAAAAAAGGCTCATATAACAATTTTTGCAGCAAGAGGCCATGAGTTCTCTCAAAAAAAAATTTCTTCGTGAAAACTTTGTTTTTTTTTCTCCTTCTCTCATGTTTTTGTTTTTTAATATAATATATTTATAATGTTCGCGTGCATATATATATATTTTTTATTTTTCTTTATATATATATGTATATGCTTTTAGGACTTTATGCTGTATTACATACTACGTATACTATCACAATGACGGTTCTTAGAATTTTCCAAGCTAGATGAAAAAAAGGATATATCAATATTTTTAAAAAACCCCTTGTGAATTTATATTTTAATAATGAAAAAATAATTGGGGTTTCTTTTTTTTTTTTCTTCATTGGAAGACTGACGTCTATATAACGTTCGCAATTCCATTATTAAAGTTTTTTTTGTGCGATATTACTTAACCTTATTCATTTTTTTCATCTAAAATGGAATTCTGAAAAAAAAAGAAAAAAAAACTTCAGAGAACAATGCACAGGTTATCTTTAATATATTGAGAAAAATATTTTCGATATTTTAAGTTTGAAATATTGGAGAAAAAAAGAGCTGATTCGTGCGCGGCAAGTAAAAAGTGGAGGGGGGAAGAGCGAAGCTCCGCCCCTTTCTCGCTATTAGTCTAGGCAGAAAAGTGGGGAAGCGTCCTTCCCCCTCCACTTTTTACTTGCCGCGCACGAATCAAGGAAGGTAAAACTAATTATTTTTTTTGCAAAAATCGATTATATAAAAAAAAGAATTGTGCAACGTGTGACGTTATTTTCTGAAGCACTTTAAAAAATATGACCGTCGTACAGCTCTCTAACCTATACATCATGATACAATGTGAAACCCTACATAAAATCTACGTTGACACGTTTCCTCTCTCACTTTTGTCTCGACGCTTCAGTTGATTATCATATTACGGGAGGATAAACGTATAAATGTCTATATAGTTTTTTTTTTTTTTTTTTTTCTTTTTTGTTTTATATTCGTGTAAATGTGTTTGTTTCTTTAGTGTCTATATATAGTACGAACTTTATATTATCTCGACATCTTTGTTAAAAGGAAAAAATATGTACATATTACATATATATATTATATATATACGCCAAAAATCTAGACTGTTCAAATCACTGGCAAGTGTTTGTGTGTTTCTTTTTTTTGCATATATGCAATAATATTAATAAGGTAATAATAATAAATTTAACGAACAACGACAACATTGATTCTCTATTCACTTTTTTTTTTTTTTTTTTGTGTTTTCAAAAATTCTCCTTTTCCGTGTTCTTTTTTCACCCTTTCATACTTTTCTGAGTTTTCTTCTTTTTTTTTTTCTAGGTGAAAAATACGGTTTTTTTTTCTCAAAGGATTAAAATTTGTATGGTGTGTTTTATGTAAATATGTAAATTAGAGAATATTGCAAGTGAACTCGTGTATTCACGTCATTTTCTCTGCCTTATTTGCAAATTTAAATGCATATAATTATCGAATCATTTATTTTTATATATATAAATGCACCGGTTTCGAACTTGACGTTTCACGTAGTTCACCGTGCTATCGAACTTTCCCGAATTGAATCGAAGACGTAAAGGGCAACGCGCGTGTATTCAATTTGTTTTTTTTTTAACTAATTTGCACGAATTTTCATATAACTAGAATATTCAATAATGTTATTAATAAAAATATTAATATTTATAGAAATATTTAAAAAATAATAATTATTATCATTAATTAATGATTATTAATGAAATAAAATTAAAATATATATATATATTTTTTTAATTATAATACAATAATTATAATAATAATTATTATTAGAACAATAATTAATCTTCTAAAAAACTAAATATAAACATATTATTATATATATTTTTATCTTTATATTGGTAGTGAAAATTTTATTTTCACTTCCAGGCAAGGAAATTTTAAACAAAAATTTCATGTCACAATCGCGAATTAAGAGTTAATCGAAAAAACTTTTTAGAATTTCGATAAATTCATTAACCTAAACATCTTTGGTGATTTTTGAAAATTATAAAAATTTTCAAATTCCATTCAAAATTGAAAAAAAATACTAATAAATATTGAAATTAATAATTAGCAAAAATGACAAAAGATGAATTGGACGAATTTTCTTGTGATAACTCTTTAAAAAGAGAGAGAGAGAGAGTGGGAGTAAAATAAAAAAGAAGGAGCACTTCCAATGAATATGTCACAGTCTTGAACCATTAAAACCTCAACGCAATTCGATTAACAAAAAAAAAAAAAACGCCCGCAAAAACATGAATTGAAATTGGAAAATTTGAAAAACGTCACTTGGCAATTTTTTCAGCCGTCAAATAAAAATCGGGAAAAAAAAACGGATGCGCGGTATTGGGTCGATAAGGCACTGTTTACCGACAATGTCTCTTGACTAGAAAACGAAGCTATTCTTGGAACTTTGTTTATATATTTTCAAACGTCGCTCGTCTCTTTATATTTTAGACTAGTCCGCAACAATATGTGGTTCCTGCCCAATGCGTTTATTCTTTATTATTATTATTTTTTTAAAAATTTAATAACAAAGTTGAGAGGAAAAAAAATACAACAATCGGACTTTTTTTTTTAACTTCACTCTCAAACAAGTCTTTGTGCGATATTAGTTTTGAAAATAGGATCAGTAAAATTAAAATTTCAAATAAGCTTTAAAGTTTTGATTCGCTAAAATCCTTTGTACTCGAAAGTGAAACTAGAATTTTGTTATTCAAATTAGAAATGAGTTTTGATAACAAATGGAAATAAAGTACTCAATTTGAAATTGGAAATTCAATTTGGAAAATTTAGATATTCTTCAGTATTTTAAATTGAAAATTCATTCTCAAAAATCTGAATTAGAAACTAATTACTAATTACTGAAATAATTTTTTAGAGGAATTTCGAAATTAGAAAATAAAAACTTTTTTTGGCATTAAGAAACTGAAAATTGAATATATTTTTTTTGTTTTCAAGATTCTAAAGCGAATTAACACTTTTTCCTATTTTTTAAAATAATGAAACTATATACAAAGATTAAAAAAATGAAATCAAGAATATTTACAATCACTGTAAAATATTCAATTATAAATAATAATTAAAAACAGAAACGGTTTTAAAAATCTAAGAATAGCATTAATTTTTTTCAAATTAATGTTTTTCTTATTTAATATTAAAAAAGGCAAACACACACACACACAAAGGTTAAAAATGACAAGTTAATTAGTTCATTGACTAATTATTTTAATTAACTAAAATTAATTAGTTTCATTGAATATATAAATTGAACTAAAAAAAAATAGGAAAAAGGTATTATATCGCTAAAATTAATCAATTCGCTAAAAAAATTCAAAATTTTACTAAAATTAATTTCAGAAGTTAAATTCTGAAATTACTTTTCAATACATGATCCTTAAATTCAAACTTAATTTTCTAGTGAGCGGACTAGCTTTTTTTTTACATTTTCTAAAGAAGATCAACAACTCGACCTCGTTGATTTTGATGAAACTTGTAACAATAATAGATCTTGGTAATTGTTAAATTAAGTGCCAAAAAAAACCCAATTTTTTTTTTAATTTGCCTGCCTGGCGTCAAAAATTTGCATTACTATCAGTGATAGTAGCGCAGTGGATAAAGTCTCGAACTACAGTACCCAGCGTCCAGGGTTCGAATCTCCGCTTCAATAATTTTTTTAAAATTTCAATTCTAAAAATTCTAGTAATTAATGTAAAATTGCGTTTAACGTTCTAAAAAAAAGTATAAAAAATTATTTTTTTTATTAAAAAACTGCTAAAAAAAATACTGGAGAGAAGATTCGAACCCTAGTTGGTAGCTTTACAAGTAAAGTATACCTTACCAACTGTGCTATTACCGCCAAAAGCCGTCGATCCGTATTTTGAACAAAAATCGATTTTTTTCGAAAATTTCTTAATAGTGGGTCTTTTTATATTCATCCTTTTGTCACAAATACAAAAATCTATTACAGTTTCAATTTTTATCAAAATCGATAAAGTCAAGTTGGTGCGCTCTTTGAAAAAATTAGTTCTACTAAAAACTAATCCTAGTAATCCTTTCATAAAATCTAGTCCGTCGTTAATTAACATATTGAGAGTAAATAAAATGAGTCTTAGGCCAGTGAGATCGATAATTGCCGGAGTGTGAGGGGGAGGAACCATGAAACCCTGATTCATTAGACTTTAAAGCCTCTCCTGTTAAATTAGGTATTTGCAATTTCTTTCATCGAGTTAAAAATATATATTGAAAAAGAATTTAAGTTGTCTTCATTTTCTTATAGGGTTGCATGATGACTCCACTATTTGCGGGCAATGCAACTTGTGGTTGAGCGGCTATCGTTGCTGGACTAGCTGTTGATAATTGAGGCATAGCTTGAACGGCGGTCGCATATCCCGGATTACCAGCGACACCTGGTAGCATTGCCGCGTAATGACTTTGCAAATAGGGTGATTGAACAGTGGCTGCTGTTGGTACACCTTGCAATGATGTTTGCATATACGGCGATGTTGGTAGCATTTGTTGTCTAATAAGGGAATAGGGATTAAAGGTGGCGCTTGTTGGAGCACGTGGTGGATAGGCAAGAATACCAGCTTGTAATGGTGATGTGAGACCGGCACCACCAATACCGGCAAGGCCAGAAACGACTTGTCTAGATGCAGCGGCACCCGGGATTGCGGCAGCGGCAGCGGCGGCAGCATGATGATTAGCAACTGTTAACGCTTGTTTATTTAATGCAACGCCAGTATAATTGAGCGCGGTAAGTGGATTAATGGCATAAGACTGTGTGGCCTGTGAGAGTTTTAATGCCTTGGCATAATTTTTTTGTGCCACTTCTTTGGCAAGTGCTGCTGGATCAAGTGAAAGACTTGGCGACATACCCAATGAATTGAGAACATTTATATTTGCCATATTGGCCATTGTATAATTGGCCATTGACGTGACATTTGCCATATTATTAACTGATACCATATGATTCATACTGACAACATTGGGCACTGACGTTAAGCCTGACATTGATGTCATTGGACTCATTGGCGGTGGTGCTGGAAGTGCCAATTGATTTAATTGAGGGGAATTCGCGTGATTCAATTCGGGAGGTGATGTTTGAGTGTTGTCGGTGTCGTGATTAGCGGCTGAATTATTTTTATCGCCACTTGTTGCCGCGGGCGGCGGCGGAGGCGGATTGTTGGGATCCAGTAAGAGCCCATGACCATTGGTGTCGGCGTTCACCGCCGCTCCTTGGTTTTGTATTGTGTTTTGAACCGATTGATGATTTGAGGATTGGGCGGGTAGGGGTGGCGTTCCAGTGTACTCACATGACACAGGCACGAAGGGCTGCTGAAGCTGCATTAACTGCTGATAGGTTGTAGCGCCAGTTGGTTGATAAACCGGCACGCCGGACTTGTCGCCCGCCGGACGTTTGTACGGAACCATTCCTGGGAAGGCCTGAAATCAACGGCAAGAAAGATGAGTTAGATTCTATTATTTTTTGTCATTTACCTTCTTTTTTTTTGATTTAGGGGGAGATCGTCTGTGTTCACTGCTTCGTTGATCCTGTTTCTTTTAGGTCACGTTTCGTTACAGTCATTGTTTATTCCAGTAAGAAGGATTTATTGTGGATGCCGTTTGGATGATAGTGGAAGCTGCCTGTTCAATAATCCAAACGACATTTAGACAATTGGAATCGTTTATTGGAGTTAAAACAGAAAAAGACGAATTAACCACACAGAAAACTGAAAAAAATGGATAATAATAAGTAAATATTAGTAAATTATAAAAGTATCTGCAATTTTTAGAAACAACGGGTTTTATGAAATATTACTTTTGTGCTGACAGTGCAACACTGTACATGTGGGTTCTATGGTAAATGTAGTCTTCCTTACCGACTCTCGATAATTACCAACCGGAAATTTCTACTTTTGAAGAAGAAATCAGGTAATCAGTAAATATCAACAGTCGGTATAGAAGATCAGTTTTACCTACGAAATCATATGTACAGTATTGCACTGTCAGCACAAACTAATGTTTCACATAACTCGTAGTTTCTCCCACATAAAAGTATTTCTACACTTTAGTATTTCAGTATTTACTAATTATTATCCAGTTTCTTAATTTTTCTGCAAAGTTAAGTCGTGTTTTAATTTCTTAACCTCAATAAACGTCCAATTTTTCAAATGTTTTTTTTTGGTTATTTATAAGACGGCTTTCATTATCATCCTTGCATGCTCTTTTTTTACAGAAAAGTCTTTAAAAAAAGGGTCTCACTGTATTCTTAAAAAAAATATACATTTTTCAAAAGTGAATTTAAAAAAATAGAGGGCATAACAAAAAAAAAGGACTTAAAAATTATTGTCAAGATATGATTCTGTGTGTTGTCTGCACTTACAAAGTTCTCGTAGTAGAACGACCCGACAGACTTCATGTCCATCTGCAACAAAGACAGGATTGGTTTCAACTTGTTTTCAGGACAAGGCTAAAGTGTATTTTCTCTAGGAGGTGGAAAAGGGTATTTTTTTTTTTTTTAATGGGATGGCGCAGTAAAAGTTGTGCCGATGACGCAGCTTGCAGCGACGTTCCCAAGCGACGAGGTATCCATCTTGTGTATGCAACTGTAAATTCTCTTTTTTTTTTTGGAAAATGTCAGAAAAACCAGCCATTTTTATTTAGAAAAAAAGAAAAAAGATTCCGCGACTGTATTTTCAAGTTTCTCGTGATATTTTCAAACCGAAATCTAATCGCGAATTTCAACTATCACCGTTGTGCTTATATGTCTGTATGGTGTGTTTATGAAAAAGAGAAGTCAAGAAATGAATTTTTGAATTAAAAAAAAAGATGTTCTCGTAAAAAAAGAGAAACCTTTTTTGTTATAGGATTATTTCCTACTGTTATGAATTTTATATAAAAAAAAAAAAATTACGAATTGGACAATTTTATACAAATTAATAAGAGTTTGACATTCACAGGGTACATAATAATTTAGCAAAACTTATATACTTTGAACAGTGGAGCAAAATTTAGGTGCTCAACTAAAAATCTATTTCGAAATTATTGTTTTTAAATATATATATATATATACGAGTTGCAGAAAAATTTGTGATAAGCAAAATAAAAAGATAAACGAAGAATTCAATTAGAAGCTGCAACGAGATGCAAAAAAGCTCAAAAGCTGGGAGACGCGAGATAAGACAATTTTGAATAAGGCAGAGAGAGAGAGAGAGAGAGAGAAAGATAGATGGAGAAAAAGAGATAGAGTGTAATGATACAAATTTGACTTCTATTGTTTTAAACGAGTGTTACAGACTGACACAAGGAATGCAATGCGTTCCATTTTGAGAAGCGCGAATTGGTTAGTAAAATAAAAACAGCGAATCGGATGAATTACGAAAAATACAAAAAAGAAAAACTAGACACGCCCTTTTTCTGATAAAAAAAAAATTTACTAATTAGAAAAAAATTGAGTTGAGAAACTAAAATTCCGACCAATAGAAGAGAATGCTGCACTCATTGGACGAGAAGCGCGGAGAGGGAGAAAGGTCACTGACCGAATGCTCCGCCCAGTGTTCCCCCTCTTCGCGTTCATCCATCAATGGGCGGAGTAAAGCATCCGTTCTTCTTTCTGATTTCACCTCTATTTTCAAAACTATATCTACTCTTTACGAAACCTACAAAAGATTTTTTCTGTTTTTTAAAAATTTGAAAAAAATGTTCGTTATTTTAGTAATAAATTCAATTTTTAATGTTTTACAAAGAAAAATGAATAGGCGTGGCTAGTGAAATTGCTTACGAGTTTGAAAAATAGCATGAGAAAAGGATTTGTGTTTGAATCTAGGTGAATTTTTTTTTATAATGAAAGAGAAATATAATGATAGCAAGTGTATGTAAGCGATCTACAGTGCGTTTTTTTTGGCAGACACGACGTAACTTAATGAATGAATATGGTGGCTGTTAACAAAAAAAAAAGTAAAAAAAAAAAAAAAATGAAATCCAATTAAAGGCCAGTTGTAATGTCACTGAGATTCTAAGAAAAAAACACTCGGGCATTTGTTCCGAGTGTCGAGGAGATGACGTTGCACCATCACCTCGGGGTCGCGAAAGCACAACATGCATCATCGGCGCAAGCTGAGAATCATACGGATCAAATTACCAAAATCGGTTCCTCTTCTGCATTGAAAAAAAAAAATTCAGAAGAGGCGTCGATCATAATAATAAGAATTAAATAGTAATAATTTTGAACTCATATCAAAAAAAAATTAATGCACTTGTATCAAATTGATTTTCACTATGAAATTAAATTTCTAAATTGATATTTTTGTAAATTATGTATTGAAGGAAATTTTTTTTTTTCGATTTCTTAATACTCAAATTAATACAAGTACAATTGTTCTTGATACGAGTACAAATAGTCGATCATCATTAACGATTTCTCGTTAAGAAAAAACTGATCTTATAAAATGGTCAATAATAATTATTTTGCCAAAAAGGAATTAACAATAATAATATTTGTACGGCACATCAGCCAGGAGGAATTCCACTGTAATAATTTTGATCTAAATTTATTATTATTATTGTGAGAATTATTAATGAATGATACATTATAATTAGCATTGAATATTTATTAATAGTATATTAAATGATGATTATTTTCGTGAATTCATTGCTGGCTGGTGGCCTAATAAAATGGAGAAAATAAAAAGAGACTATAGATGTTGGTAAAGCGATCTATAAATACATTACGAGGCGTAAGCTCCGAACGGACAACATCGCAATGGACAAACAGAAAGAAGCGAATATATATATATTAATATATATATTTAAAAAAATAGAAGATATTTGAAAGAATTTTGCGCTTGTTTCTGAAGAAAGCGAATGGTGTCGTGTTATATGATGCAAAAAGATATTACGAGTTATATGCAAACTGAACCGTTTTTTTTGGATTTTCAAATTTATATGATCACTACGAGTCGCTAGGATTTTAATTTAATTGCTATTATTTAATTGTTTAAAATATTTTTACATTTATATTATTATTCACTTATTTTAATTATTATTATTTAATTATCTAAATTTAATTAGCTATTTGCATTACACAATTTCTTGCTTATCTAGTTTGGTTAATACAAGAGAAGAAACAAAAAGAAGAATAAAATCAGAAGACGCTTCATTCATTGGGGGAGAAGCGTAGAGTGGGAGAAGGGTCAATGACCGTTATCTCCGCCCAGAGTTCTCCCACTCCGCGCTCGACCTCCAATAAGCGGAGTGAAGCGATTTCTCATTCCCTCCTTCATTGCATTCCATTCTCTCCTATTGGTGGAAATTTTTTTTTTTGCCTCTAATTTGAAAACTACTTTGTATTTTAAGAACAAATTTAGATTTTTAGCTTTTTAATTTTTTTTCTTTTTTAAAAATTTGTTTAGTAAAAATTTTATTTGTTTCTAAAAGTAAAAAAAAAAATTACTTTACAAATTGGAAAAATTTATTTTGTCGTAAAAAAATGGTTTTCATTTTGATAATAATAAAAATCCATAGCGACACGTAGTAACACGGTTCTGTTTTGTTATAAGAGACATGACAAGAGAAATAACAGGAGCTAGAGCTCTAAGCGCGCTCGGCAGTGTATTCACAATCGCAGTAAACTATATATATATATATTTTGGTATCTGTAACTTAATCGTATTTACTACAACAGGAAACTCGGGAGAACTGTTTCATGGTATCTCTGAAAATTGGGAATTTAATCGATCGTAGCTAATTTGATTTAAACTTGAAACTACACCGCATCAATGTTTGAAATGAAGGAAAACATCCAATACAATTGAACTTTTCCTATTCATTTAATGATATAAAAAAAAAAATTCTTTTTTCAGAGTTGACGTACTCAATGCAATAATAATATTCTTCTGTAAAATCAAAAAAAATTTTAACTTGAAAATAATGAAGAATCAATTTTTTTCACTATCTTTTGCTTCAATGGTTGTGGAAATTTATCATAACATTAAAAAAAGAAAATATTTTATGTATTTTTTGCTATTTAGTTTCCAGTCTTCTGATAAATTATTGAAAAATTAATTTTTTTCAGTTCAAGTGAAAGTCAATTAATAAAACACGTCCTGACTTATCAATCGCGCAGGTTAAGCAACTGTAGACTCGGTTAGTTCACGGTATGGTCCCATTTTTTTCTAATTTACTTTAAAAAAAATTTTTTTTTTGAAACAAGAATTGTTAAAAATACATTTTTTAGTAAATATATATTATTATTTATTATTATTATTTAACAATATATTATTAATTATATTATTCAATATTATTATTATTGATTATTATTTAACAAAATATTATTAATTCTACTATTAATATTATTCAATAGTTTTGTTACTGTTACTATTTTTATTATTATTAATATTGTTTGCATTATTTAATAGCATTTTTTAATAATAATAATTAATTTATATCGTTAATTATAATTATAGTATAAAATTACTGTTTTTGAAAAAGAATATTATAAAAAAGAATTTCCACAACCAAGAATAAATTTTTTTTTTTAAAAAAGTGAAATACAGTTTCCCGAGAGTTCCTGACTACAAAAAAAAAAAAAAATTTAGAGGGATAGAGGTTGTGAAAGTGTGTAATTCATGCATAAGCCGTGGTACCATTAGCAGATCATCATTGGAGTCGCGCATCCGTTTCTTGCCGAGTTCGATGCCCGCCATATTGGCATTCTGAAGTCCTCCTGGTAAAGTAGATGCCGATATCGCCGACACACCGCCAGCCATTGCTCCAATTCCCTGTACACTGGTTGGCATTGCTGTCGTCTGTTTATGATCGATCATTTTTTTTTTCATATTTTGATCATCGATCGATAGATGGCGTTTCATTCAAATTCCAGGTCACAGCATTCAGTTTTTTTTCGTTTTCGGACATTTTTCGGTTTCGGCGTGCGTTAATTTAATTTTTTTTTTTTTTTTTTGCAGGTAGCGAAGCGCACCAAGGTTTTTTTTTCAGCAAGCATGAAGCATCGTCAGGCGAGAGGGCAAGATAAAAATCAAAAAAAGAAAAAAAGACAAGTTGAGGCTACGTTAGGCAGACAGTTGCAAAGGTCTTAAACGTCTAATAAATATATATGTATATCATTTAAATATTATTTACACACGATATAAAGAATTTTTTTATTTTCTTTATTTTTTTTTACATCTCAATTCTCATTTGGAAATTTTTCATAATAGAATAAAAAATTTATTTAGTATAATTATTTTCTGTACTTTAAAAGACAGCGGTGTAACCATTCCCACCGCTGTCACCTTCAGCGATGTGGTACTTTTTTCTCTATATATAGTTAAGCCACTGTTTAGTAAAAGAAAAATTTACGTTTAAATTGAAATGTAACGTGTGTTCTTTTTTTTTTGACATAATATATAAAGGAACATTATTATA